TAGAAGACATTGACCGAATTCGGTCGGGGAAAAAGTATTCTCTCTGTGTGTATGTGTGTGTATATATATATATGCGTGATGTGATACTTTTTTTTTGTTGTTGTTTTTGTTGATGAAGAATTAATATTATTATTATTATTATCTTATGTTTCTTTTTCTTTTTTTTGTTTTTGTCTATCTCTCTTTTTTACTTTTCGACACCACACACACGTGCTTGATGACACGTGCACAGGACTTACATGGACCGGCGCGATGCTCTTTACTCCAATGCGGAGGGCGCCTTACGGGCCTTCTGTTGGGGCTATACAGGGACACACAGATTTTTCGATTAATTAATCTCCTCTCCTTCCATCCTTTCTCTCTCCACTTTAATCTTTAACACTTTTATTCCGAGATATATATATATATATACTTGTTTCCTTCAATTTTCGCTTTGTAAAAATTGAAAGGGAAAACGCTATAATATAATTAAATATATTTCGTAATAACAAGTATATCGAACAGGAGGAGAATATTCGAATTCCTTTGCCTTTCGTTCTCGAACGAGACAAGAGTACGACTCTTCTCTGGTAAAAAGATGGATATCGAGAAGAAAGACGGAGGAAAGGAAGCTTACCGCTGGGCTCAGTCCACGCGCGGCACTTCCTCCGCGTCCCTTGGTGCGGAACTTGGTGATCGCCTGCTCGGCGAGGTCCGCCCTCTCCTCCGCCTCCTCGAGCTCTTGTTGCGCTTTGCGGAATTTCGCGAGATTCAGAGCGGCGATTTCCTCCGCTTCCTCGATCTGCCTCTTGTACGTCTTGATCTTCTGCTGCAGCTTGTCGACCAAATCTTGCATGCGCTCGTGATTCTTGCGATCTTCGTCGGCCTGAAAAGCGACGATTTCGTGTAAGATTTTCGAGAAAGAGGAGGAGGAGGAGGAGGAGGAGGATCATACCTGGAAGCTAAGCTCCTTGATGCGACGTTCGGATTTGCGGAGATTCTTCTGGGCATCGGCGTGTCTCCTCTGCTCTCCGTCGAGTTCGTTCTCCAATTCGCGGACGCGTTGCTCCAACTTCTGGATCGCCTTCTTGCCACCCTTCAGAGCGTTCGCCTCGGCCTCGTCCAGGCGTACCTGAAGCTCCTTGATCTGGGTCTCGAGCGCTTTGCGAAGTTTCTCCTGGGTTTGGGCGTGATCCTGCTCGGCTCGAAGCTCGTCGGCCAGTCTCGCCGCGTCCACCATCGCCTTCTTCGCCTTCTCCTCGGAGTTCTTCGCCTCGTTCAACAACTCGTCCAGATCGGACTGGGAAATATAAAGAATAAGCAATCGAACGAATTTGAACGAAGAGAGGGAAGAAGAGAGAAGAAAAAAAAAAATGCGGGACTCACGTGAAGGGTTTGAAGCTCGGCCTCGAGTTTCCTCTTCGCGGCAGAGATGGAGGCGTTCTGGGCGCCCAACTCGTTCAACTGCTCGTGGCAATCGGCCAACTCTTGTTCCGCCTGGCGGCGTCCGCGATCCGCCTGCTCGAGAAGTGTACGGCTCTCCTCGAGCTCGTTTTGAAGAGCGTTCGCCCGCCGCTCCGAGATCCCCAGCAACTCTCTCGCCTCGTCGCGCGCCCTCTGCTCCTCCTCCAGCGCTGTCTGCACGTCCTTCAACTGTTGCTGGTATCTCTTTATGTTCTTCTGCGCCTCGGCGTTCGCCTTGTTCGCGTGATCCAGAGCGATCTCCAACTCGTTTATGTCCGCCTCCAGTTTCTTCTTCATCCGTAACGCCTCCGCTTTACCCTGCCGATCATCATCACCATTCGTTAAAATCATCATCCGAAAAATCTGCTCGGGAAGACGCAGAACGACTTTGCTCGTGTTTATTCGGAGGGGGGAATAAATTGACGATAAATATCGACGTTTCCAAAGAAAGTTAGTTGTTGGCCAATCCATGTTCTACATTTTAAATATGTATTGTACACGTGGGTATACTCGGAGGGAGGATCTGCGTACCTTGGCTTCGGCTTCGAGGGATGCCTGCATAGAGTCGAGGGCACGTTGGTGATTCTTCCTCGTGTTCTCGAACTCTTCCTCCTTCTCCTGTATGCGGCGGTCGATCTCCTGCCTCACTTGGCTCAGCTCGAGCTGGCTGCGCAACACCTTGTTCTCCTCCTGCTCCAAAGCGGCCTCCGCTTCCTCGAGGGCGGCCTGGAGCTCGTCCTTCTCAGCCTCCAACCGCTTCCTCGCCTTCTCGATCTCGTGAATGTTTCGCCCACCCTCGCCGATCTGGTCCAACAGATCCTTCACCTCGTCGGCCAGATTCTTGTTCTCCCGACGCACCGCCTCCAACTGTTCCTGCCCCTCCTCGTACGCGCCTGTTTCGTTCGAACGAAACGAATAATGAACAAGAGAAAGAAACGAATAAAACGAGAGGAAGGAAATATAGCGTTTCTTTTTTTTTTTTTTTTTTCTACCTCTGAGCCTGAACAATTCCGTGCTGTAATTGCGGCATTCCTTTTGGCTTGCGTCCAACTCGGCGGCGAGATCGTCCACTTTGAGCTTCCATTCGCTGATTATCTTGTCGAACGCCTTCTGCTTCTTCTCCGCCGCGTTCGCGATCGCTGTCGCTCGATCCACCTCGATCTGCAGGTCCTCCACCTCGGTCGACAATCTCTGCTTCGTCTTCTCCAACGCGAGAACCTTCTGGTTCAACGACTCGATCGTCTCCTCGGCCTCGGCCAACCGCGCCTGCAACTTCCTCTTCGCCTCCTCCAACTCCTCCGCCCTGGCCACGCCTCCGACTCGTATTTCGTTCGCCACAACTGGGCCTCGGCGTTCGCCTTGCTCAGCTGCCTCTGCAGATCGGCCTTCCCCTCGGCCTCCTCCTCCACCTGCTCCCGAATATTGTCCAAGTCGTGCTCCAAGTTGCGGAATTTGCCGAGGAGGGTGGCGCGCTCCCTCGACTCCTCGTCGGCCAATCGTTTCGTGTCCTCGAGCTGGGTCGTCAGCGATATCTTGATCTTGGACAATTGGTTCACCTGGGACTCGGCCTCCTCCAATTGCCTCAACAGGTCGCTGTTCTCGATCGACAATTTCTTCTTGGCCGCGTCGAAATCGTTCAACGTGCGGTTCACCTCCTCCAATTTACCCTGGGTCTCGTTCAATTGGTGTTGCAGTTGTTTCACGATCTTCTCTTGGGCGGCCTTGTTTTTTTTTTTTTTAACGAAAATTTAAATTTAGATCGATTCGTTCTCCGTCAGTATCGTCGACGATCGTCCTCCTCGTTCGAATTCGCTTTTCCAAAATTCGTTCGCGCGTTCGTTTCCCCGCCTTCGTTCATCTTCTTCTTCTTCCCACGAGTCGAAAAGCGAATTCGAACGAGGGAGAAGGAGAAGGAGAAAACACACGAGGAGGAGGAGGAGGAGGAGGAAACAAGACAAGCTTTGCAGCAAACACACGTTTGTTTAACGATCACGATAAAATAATATTCGTATTCTTTGCTTCGTTCTTCGTTGACATGTTCGCTTGTTCGGCCGAGTAAAAGCTGTTAGTCGCGTTAGTCCTAGTTGGAGATTTCGTCTCTCTTCGAATGAACCAATCTTACCTTTTCGTTGCTCAGTTGGTCTACCGATGCGCGCATGTCGTTTAATTCGCTGAAGTATTGAACCTTGTCCTTTTCAACCCTAATATTCGTTCAAACAGACGTAAACTTTTGGTTAACAATTGGTGTTCACGATTTGGGAGAGGGGAGGGGGGGGGGAAAGTAAATAAATAAACGATCTCGATCGTAACGACGAATCGGCCGAAAATTCGTGAGACAGAGAGAAAACAGAGAAGAGGGGAAAACAAAACCGCAAAAAAACGCTCCTCCTGCTGGACGACCAAATCATTCGAATTGGAATCATTCGGATGGACAAACGACAAAGTAATTTTGAAAATTGAGAGAAAGAAAAAGGAAGAGAAACACGTATGGGGGGAAAAAAAAACCACGGACACATACGGACATTCTCGACTTTTCTTTGAAATTGATACCTTTTCTCTAGAAACCTGATCCGTCGCGGCACGAGAATTGTTTAGTTCGGCATGGATATCGTGACGACCCTTTTCGGCTCTGATGTGAAAATATTTCGTTTTATAAATTTCCATCTATCGTTTATTATTATTATTATTATACTACTAATTACTACTACTACTACTACTACTACTACTACTATTACTACTACTACTACTACTACTACTACTACTACTACTATTACCACTATTGCTACTAATATTAATATTTTTCGTAAATACATAACCCTCCCACCCACCCACCCACGTGATACTTTCAACGCGACCGCGATCGGCTTACCTAGCTTTCAGTTTGTTGAGCGTGTCGATTTGCTCTCCCATCTCGGCAACGGCATCGTTGTGCTTCTTGCGCAAATTGGCAAGAGTGGTTTCGTGCTGGATGTTGGCCTCCTCGAGGTCTCTGCGAAGTTTGCTAAGCTCGGCCTCTCTCTTCTTGTTGAGCTCGATTTGGGCGGACGTGGCGCCACCGGCTTCCTCCAAACGTTCGCCTAGTTCCTCGAGTTCCCGCGCCAAGTCGCTGCGCTGTTTCTCCGCTTTCACTCGCGAGCCGCGTTCAGCCTCGATCTGAAAAGAAAAAAAGCGTTGACACGATCCCCTCCTCCCGACCGTCTTTGCCCGAATATCGATCCAGCCGAATTTCGAAACGAACCTCTTCCTCCAATTCTTCGATACGGGCCTGCAACTCCTTGATCTGTTTCTGCAGTTTGCCCACCAACGATTGTTCATCCTCGAGTTTCGCGGTCAACGACGACAATTCTTTGTCCTTGCGTTGAATCGTCTGCTCGAGTTCCTTCTTGTTCCTCTCGAGATCCGCGACAGCTTCCTGCGTAAGTTTCAAATCACCCTCCACCTTTCGCTTCGCCTTCTCTACGTCCGCTCTAGAGAAAAGAATAAAAATAGAATTAGAAATACAGAGAGAGAGAGAGAGAGAGAGAGACGCGATCGCGTTATAATTCTAACCGTGATTTCTTTTCACGTTCCAATGAATCTTCCAATTCGTCCAGAGTGTGCTCCAATTTGATCTTCACTTTGTTCAAGTGATTGACCTTGTCCTCGGCAGCTTGAAGCTCTTCGGCGGTCTTCTGATTAACCTCGCCCTGATTCTTCTTCTCCTTGTTCAATTTGTTGATCAACTCGTCCTGATGAGCGATCTCGTCGTTCAAGTTACGGATCTGATGATCCTTGGTCGCCTTGTCCTGCTCCGACTTCTGCAGATTAAGTTCCAAATCCTCGATATCTTTCTTCAAGCCCGCAACCTCCTGTTCCAATTTCTTCTTATTTTGGAACAGATTGTTTCTCGTATCCTCCTCTTCTTTGAATCTGTCGTTCAGATCCTGTAGTAGTAAATAAAGTAGTAAAGTGGTGAGCACAAATATATCGAATAATATATTTTCGAAAAATAATTCTTAATAATATCTCTTCTCTCTTCGAAATATCACTCTCGATGATATATTATACGGTTAAAAATTATTTTCCAAATCTAAAATTATTAATCCCACATCTCGATCGATCAACCTCAAGAAGAGAGAATATTTTCTCTACTATCTCTTTATTACAAATAATTCTATTCGGATAATTCGATTTCGAAATAAAATAAAAGTATCCGCGTATTATCCCGGTTTCTTAAACCGTTCTTCGATACGGTGGTGGCCGAGAGACGATAAATGAGAGAGAGAGAGAGACAGAGCGAACGCGCTCGTTCGTTCGTTCGTTCGTTCGTTCACTTCGCGTCGTCGAATCGTATCGAGAGGAGGTAGACAATTTTTGGAACGGAACGAATCGGTGAAGGAGATGACGCGCGCGCGCGCGCGTACAAGCGCGTATAAATATACCATACACCTGTTACCTCTCCCTCGTTTCGTCGGTTATTCCAGCCAGTATAACCACGCCCACTTTTAATAACCTGGAATCTGGGATCAGCGATGGTAGCTAAATTTGGCTAGCGTGTCGAAGGTAGGGGCAAACGTCCCTCCTCTCCGCGTCTCAGGTATCTTAAGCCGATTTAAACCCATCCTTTTTTCCCCTTCTTTCTTTTCCATTTTTCCTTCCTTCCTTCCTTCCTTCCTTCCTTCCTTCCTTCCTTCTTTCCTTCCTTTCTTCCCATCCTTATATAGCATCGCTTAATTTCACGCGTAACTTGCTTTTACGATCCATAACATAGCGAACCCGGTCGATAAAATAGAGTTTTAGACGAAAGTCTCGTCCTCGAGAAATTGTAAACAAAACAGAGGGAAAAGAATCAGGTGGTCATCGTCCCGTTTCGATTGTTTCCAACGGATGGAAACAACGAGACAATTCTAAATTTAATCTTGAAAGAAAGAAAGAAAGAAAGAAAGAAGGAAGGAACGAGAGAAAGATGTTACGGCGGTGTTGACATAAAATATCAGTTGATCGGTCGGTGTAAAAGATGCCCGGTTAAAAATAGCCCGGTATTCCGGAACGAAACGTGTTCTCCACGAAATTCTTCGAGTTCTTTTTATATAACGCGCGACCAGCTTTTCTTTTCCTCTCCAATCTCTTTTAAACCGTGTTCGTTTCCTCGCGATTATTCGGACGCGATTATTTTCCATTTATATCGTTCATTGATAAAATAAAATCAGGAGAAAAGATAAGATATATTGGAACGTATATTGGAACGAGGGGAAGAAAAGAAGAAATTTTAGAGGGGATTTTGGAAGGATGCGCGTTATCGCAATTTTAGAACGAGCGATGATTCGTCGCGTAAGAAAATAAGCGGCCAATGAGCGAGGTAGTCGGACGAGTCTGACTAATGACGCGCCTATGCTACTTAATGCTCCTTCTTACGAAACGGCCCATCCATCAACTTCTGCCAGGTGCATCATTTTCTGTAATCCGAGCCAGATCCGCTTAAATATTACACCACGATCGCTTCTTCTCTCCCGAAAAATCATGCTCCTTCTTCCCAAACTTTGTTAACCAACGAATATAATAATAATTTATTCTCGTTTCGAAATAAACGCGTTTTTTCTTTTCTTTTTTTTTCTTCTTTCTTTTCAATCATTAATCGCGTTTAATATTTCACTCGAGATTATATTATATTATAGGAAGGGAGGAGGGAAAAGAAAGAAGTTTCGATCTCGCTTTCGTAAGATTTTTGCGAAATTATATTTGGAGGATTACGGTATGCGAAAGGTAAGCACACGGTCGAAACATTGTAAATAAATTCCGCCACTTTTTCATCCTGCCTACACTATTGGATATATTTAAAGCTCCTCCCCCGCTCGGACTCACGATTATTTCTCCACTTCCTCTCCTCGACTCGATACTTTTCTTAACGAGTCTCGAGAGCTTGATACACGTCGAGTAATCGGATATCTCGATCGATTATTACTTCTCTCCGCCCGACGTTCCAGGCGATCGAGAAACCTTTCGTTCTTTCTCCTTCTTTTTTTTTTTTTTTTCGTTACAATTATCGTTCGCACGCGTGATTCGTCGCGGGGGACGAGACGCATTCACGGTCGCGTGAAACGGATTTCGTTATCGACAAATCCGTGCCAATTGAACTACTTACTTACTACTATCGACTTGCTACGACTTGCTTCGAATCGATCGATCCGTGTTCTTCGTGGCTATTTCCATTCTTTTTTTTCTCTTTTTCCCTTCGAGCAATTCGAATTCAAATATCCCATCCTTATATCTCTTCTTCCCCCCTCGCTAATTTTTATTCATTCGTTAAATAGGAAAGGAAATGGAAGAAGAAGAAGAAGAAGAAAATCTTACCTGAAGTTGGGACTCGAGATCGGCCTTCTGCGCGGCCAATTTCAACGATTTTTCCATGTATTCCGAGAGGGATCCCTTCTCGCCGTCCAATTGCCGTTGCAAAGCATCCCTCTCCGTGGTGAGTTTACCGTTCTGCTCCTCGAGCTCCTTGCGCAATTTCTCCTCCCTCTCGAACGCCTCCTGGGCCTTTCTCGCTTTCTCCTCCAGCGCCTGCAATTGCGATTCCGTGTCACCCGGCTTCTTCTCCCCGGACGCGCCCTCCACCGACGTGTCTCCCATCTTATCCCCGATTCACTGATTTCCGGCGAGAAGCACTCGATTCCCCCCCCCCACCAGAGACAGATTCGATGATCGATCGACACGGAATTATCGTATGATGAAGCGAACGTTCGAAAGAGAAGAGAAGAGACGAGACGAGAGAGAAAGATAGAGGGGAGGAAGGGCGAAAGGTTCGATAAAAAGAAAAGGGTTGATATTCGAAGAGGTCGGCGCGAGTCCGCGTGTCCAACTGATCTTCGATTCGAGCAAACGCCCAACTTTTCTACCCAAAATCCCTCTTCCCTCGAATCCGGAGGAGGAATCATCTCTCGCCCCCCCACTCCACCTCCCAACGATCGTTGTAGAAAAATATATTTATAACCGATCTCCCGAAGGAGGGACGCCGCAACAACCGGGAGGAGGTGACGAGTGGGTGGGTGGGTGGGGGGAAGGACGGAATTAGAATCGGTTCCAGAGATCCAGAATTCTCCAGAAGTTGAGCGCGCGTGACTCGAGACGAAGACACACACACAGAGAGAGAGAGAGAAGGCATTCTCCCGTAATTGGGAAGAAGATCGTTTTACTCCCATCAACCGTGTATGCAAGATCGTTTATAGCGGTGGATACTATTTCCGATCGAACGCGGATCGTTTCGCTTTATTTTGGTTTGACCCGTCGGTGTTGGAAATTATACTCGGTATTAATCGGCGGATTAACCGACCCCCGCGACCACTACCTACTACCCACCTAGGCCAGGTCGCTCTAGTTTACCAGAACATTACCCATTCTATTTCTGTAAGTGAGTGAGTGAGTTAGTTGGTTGGTTGGTTGGTTAGTTCGGTAAATCGATCGGTAAATCAACGTCCGTTACGTGAAATATATCCACAAATTCTTGTCAAATATCGAACGGTCGCCGCCGTTATCGAGAATTATTGCCGCGGGGAACGTGATCGATCGATCGATCGATCCATCCATCTCCCGCCCCCAATTCTATTATTAAACGTTTCCCCTCCCACCCACGTTTTTTCCTTCTTTTCTCTCCAATCGTTCGTTTCTCCCTTTTTCTTTTTTCTCTCCTCTCTCCTCCCTTTTATTTTCGGTATCTCGGCTGGCAAACATAGGCCACCGAAATAAAATTGTACTAAATATAACGAAAGCCGGATCATTCCATCTCTAAGATGAAATTAGATATCGTGAATAATCAGGTGACATCGAGCCCCTGATGAAATCGCGAGTTTGGAATTTTTCGGATCCTAAGTTTACGAAACCGAGCCCACCGAGAACCAGCTATGAATTATCATCTTTTCTTTCTCGTCCCGTTTCTTCTATTTCTGTTTTGCAATAGATGGAGGGAAAAAAAATCGAAGGAGGGAGAGAGAGAGAGAGAGAAATCGCGGCGAAAATCTATTTATAGAACGTTGAAAAGAAAAAAAAAAAAATAGGTTAGCTTCGATTCTTTCATAACGATAATTTCGATCGAATGATCGAGTCGGTCTGATAGCAAGAATGTTAATAATAATAATAATAATATACCCATTTTTCCATTATAAACGAAAGAAATTTGTGAATATTTCTCGTTCCAAATTTCTCGCGCCAACCAGACGCAAAAAAAAAAAAAAAAGGAAAAAAAGGAGAAACGAGAGACGAAGGAAAGAGAAAAGAAATCGTCTCGTACGATTCCAAGTCTCTTCTTTCGAAACGATGAGAGAGAGAGAGAGAGAAGAATACTAGGCGCAATTTTTTCCCATAAATATCGCGATATCCTCGAGACGTTACCCTCGAGACGTCGTCGACGATGAAAAAATATGGAACGCTTGTGCTTCTGCCAGAGATCGAATCGAAATCGATTTCGTTATCGATTAAAAATACTCGTCGTCATTGCACGTCCAATAATCGATATTACACGCGTGTAGCACACACGCTGTTGCTGAAAAAAAATTTGAAAGTATATCGGGAACGAGATAATGGAATTTAAAAAAAAANAAACACATCGATGGAAGAATAAAATACTATGATAAATAAAGCATAGAAGAGAGAGAGAGAGAGAGAGAGAGACTCACGGCAAGCTCGTCCTCGATACGAGTTACGTTGAGGAGAGGTTTAACTTTCTGCCACAACTTCCACCACGGCCAAGTACGAATTTGCAGGTACTTCCTCAAATTTCTTTGCACCACGACCAAAGCCAAACGTTGCTCCTGCAGCTTCTTGTAATCCTTCCTCGACAAGTAACCTCTGATGTACGCTTGCATCCAAGACACGATTTTGCTCAATCGTTCGTCACGGAACTCTTCCATCTGACCCAACACTCCGGCACGGAAGAATACCTGTTGTTGCGTTTCGAAACCGAGCAAAGCCAAACGACAATCTCCAATTAGTCTCTTCTACTATTCATCTTACCTCCATCATTACTTTGATTACTTTTTGCCCAAAAACTTTTCCTCTACGAAAAAACTTCTTCTTTCTCACAGTCTCTTTTTTTCAAGTAATCAAAGTAACGAAGAGCGCTTTTTTCGCTATTTTGCTACAAGGATCGTCGTGCAAAACTCGTCGTGCAAGCCGGGGAAGAAGAAGAAGAAGAGGAAGAAGAAAGAAAAGCATCGACGAGGATAAAAGGGATTGTGCGAGAGAAGAATACAAAAACAAACTATTAAGAAGCGGGACGAGAGTCGTCACCTCTCTGCTATGCCGATATGCCGAGCGTGAAAAAAATAAAAGCGTGGTGATATTTCGTTGCGCAGCGTGGATTAATAAGAAACTTTCGATCCTCTCCTCGAGAGAACGAAAACGAAAACTCGGATATTTTTTTATTATTAATTATATATTTTATATTTGTTTTAATTAAAAAAAAAAAAAAAGAAAAGATCGGAGGAGGAAGGATCGAAAGTTTTTTTCGAGCAGCCACGTCGTTTCATACCACAAACCAAAGGCGTCCAATACCTTGGTATTGCCCATACGATACAACTCGGGCTCCAGATTGATCGCGTCCAGAATCAGTTGGGTCGCCTTTTGCGGGTCGCAAGGCTCTTTGATGGCATTGGCGCACAGAATTTTGTATCTGCGGCGATTTTCGTTTTATTTGGTTGGGATGGTGGGCCAGTGACAAGTAAGAAACAAAGAGAGAGAAAAAAAAAAGAAAATCATCACACGTGGTTAAACATTTATTGCATTATACGTGATTCTCTTTGTCTTTTGGTACATCGATAACAGTGAGGGGAGGGGGAGAGCGAGATCCGTCTTACCATCGATCTCATACTCTCTCTGGGTCTATCTGGTATTATACATCACACATTTGCTCGCATCGAGAATCCTTCGTTCTCGACGGATTCAAATTCTCGTTCTATGAGAGTTCTTTCCACCCAGTCAGTTATTCCGGATCGAATTGGTTGAATCGAGATGGAGGGAGAAAAAGGAGGAGGGTTCGAAGGAGGCTTCGCGCTCCGTATCCGATTATTTTCCAAATATTTGTTGCCGTTGTCGTGGAACAAGAACAAAAATGGAAAATTCCAAGATAAAATTGGCGATACGGTGGCGCGAATAATTAATAATCTCGTCTCGGAGGAAAAAACAAGGGTTAAAAAAGAAAAAGAAAAAGGATTTGAAATCAAGCGATCGTCATCAAATCAACCTTGAATCACGATATTCTCATTCTCGTCCTTTTTTTTTAGGTTAGGATAGAACACGTTCGCACTTATTGCCAGGCAGCAACGATTATTAAAAACGCTGATATAGATGTGTATTATCATTCCTGCGAAATAAACGTTCGATCGATCGATCGATACGGACGGCGCGCCGATCTTCCTTCTTTTAATCGAACGAGCTTTCGTTGTTCGAAACGATAATAAAAAAAATTTTTCGTTTATCGTATACCGAGATCGAGCATAACATATACGAATAAATTATTTGTTCGAGATTATACGAGTATTAATAATAAGTTAAATTTTATTCTTACAATTTTCCAATTGAATTAACGTCCAACTCTATATAGAAATCAAATTTTGATTCGGTTGTACGGAGAAACGAATCAATCGAGCATTTTAAATTGCATTCGAACTAATTTTATTATATTCAAAATTTTTAATTTTTCTAATCGAATGGAAGCCAAATTTTCACTCATTACATCGACCGAGAATCGAATCGACCATAATATCTACGAACAAATTATTTAATCGATCATTTTAATAAGTTAAATTACTCTTCCAACCAACTTTTCCAATTGGATTAATGGCCAGACATACCAAATTTTGAGAAGCGGACCACAACATCGCGTAACGAATAAATTATTTTGATCGAACATTTTAATATACTTTGTTCGAAATTTATATAACTTTTCCAATTGGCCAAATCTTGTCGGCTGTTATATCGAAGGAAGACGTATCGCTGTACGTATCGCGCACGATCGGAGAGATTCGAGGAATCGAGAAGGCGAGATGATAATAAGCTCTCTCTATTGGGGGGGAGGGAGGGAGGTAACATGCCTTGGTGTGTCCAAGACGATATTGATCGGGATCGAGACCGGTCGATTCCAAAATCGCCTCAGCAGCCTTCTTCGGGTCGGAAGCCACCTTGTCGACCGCCGCCGGTGCAAGAATCTTGTACCTGGATGGGTAAACGGGCATCGCCGGGGGGGCAAGAAAAACAAAGGTGGTGGTGACGTGACGCTGCTGCTACTACTACTACTATTATCATACTATTATTACGTACACAGGATGAGAGAAATCTCGTACGATTTTTCTACATTTTTCTACTCGAATCCGTGCCTGCCTCTGCGCTCCCGCTCGACACTCGCGACGCTCTGCTTCCTATGTGATATTTTCTACAGGGGGAGAAGGGGGCGGGGTCACACACAACGGGGCGTGTAATAACGAATATCTACGAATAACTTTCTGGGCGAATGTAAAAAACGGGGGGCGGGGGGGCGGGGTGACATTCGATGCTCACGACGACTCGTACTCACGTAAATGTATAGACATGGATCTACGTATCCTATGGGGGGGAGGGGGGGGGGGCAATTCATAGACAACAATTGGATACCGTTACGTCGTTGCCACGAGCAATAAAAAGAGTAATAAAATTCTTGCACGTAACGTAGAGATAAGCGAGTCGCGATTCGTCCAAGATGTGGATTCGAAAAGAAAAGAGAGAAACGGTATCCAATTTGTTAACTCGGGGTCGTCGATTGGATAAAATCGATCTTGTCGTCGACGAGATTGTGAAAAAATGGACGAAAAAAAAAAAAAGAAAAATTCTACGACGAGAAAAAGGGACGGAGAAAAACGCAAGAAAAAAATTCATTTCGTTCGAGAATGCAACTAGCCTTAGTGTGACCAATCCTGTACATGTCCGGATCGAGGCCGACTTCGTCGAAACATTTTTGCGCGGCTTTCTTTGGATCCGGCTCGTTTGCCATCGCAGCCGGTGCTAAGATCATGTAACTGTACGATCACAATATAAAATATCATCATTTTCTATCGTTCCTCTCTAAATTACCCCCTTTCTAACTTTTCCAACTCTTCCAACGGTCGATCTAAGTAAGCGTTTCGTGTCGCGTTCACCGTAATTCGAGATAAAATTTGTCCTTGTCCGAGCGTAACACAACCTATACCTCGCTATAACGGTCTTTTTTTAATTTTTCGACTTACGATCGTCCACAACAATTCGTTTCGTTATACGGTAAAAAAAAAAAAAAATGTTTTATGAACTAAAGTAAAATTAAAAATTATTATTATTTTATAAAAAATTTAAACAGATCCAATTGAATTTGTATTGAGTTTGTGTCGAAATAATTGATACGACTTTTCGCGACGGTCAACTTTTCCAGAATGTATCTAGGCCGTAAAACGAGGTATAAGTGTATACGAAATAAAAAAAAAATATATATATATACAAGATGTCTTTGGATGCTTTACGAGTAAAGATAAGAAAAGAATTATCGTCGTCGCTTTATTTACGTCGAAAAGAAATTTACGAATTTCATCTTTATCTCGCTTTTCGACGTTCCAACGACATACACAATCGCTTCGCCCCATCGGATAGATAAAAATCTAAACCGGTTGTAAAGTCTTTCGCGAACTTTACACGTTTCATATTTTTACTAAAAACTACGAATTCACGTTCGTTCGTATAACGAATTCTTTTCTTATTTTCGCACGTATTGATCGATCGTTTAATCGATCGAGGACATCCTTGCATATATAACGTGCGTTATAAAACGAAATGCTATTCGAACGTTCGTTACAACGCGTATACGCGTAAAAAAGAAAAGAAAGAGAAAGAGAAGAGGAAATTACTTACCGTAATTTGAAGTCAGGATAGACCATCCTGTTGGGGAATCCTTTACGACAAATACGAATGCCTTCAAGTACACCGTTACAAGTCAATTGATGCATTACGAGGTGAGAATCTATGACACCGGGCTGCTTCATCTCGTTGGGGATGATGCAACGGACGAAGTGGGGTTGGGTGGCTCTCAGCGTGGTCATCAGATTGTTCAATTGTTCCCTGTAGGACGAGGACACCGTGGAGAAACCACCTCCCTTCTTACCGCGTCCACCTTTGCCACCACCGCCGCCGCCGGCATCGCCCGACTGTCCGGGATGATCGGCGAATATCTCCACCAACAGTTTGTTGCTGGATTTCTTGAATTGGTCGACAACCGTGTCGTTCAACGGATCCTTGTTCTTCTCCAGCCAACCCGTGATGTTGTACGGTACCTGTGCATGGCACGAACACAACGATAGAATTGTTATTGACGATGATGATAATAATAATAATAATAATAATAATAATAATAATAATAATAATAATAAACGTACGTTTCCAGCATAATGGCCGATAGCGAAGTGAGCCGGTTGCTGGCCCGGTTTCGGTGGTTTCGGTTTCAAATAATTAGGACTCTTGCCAAGGTGATTGTTGTTTAGCTTCTCCTCGAACGTTTTGTCCGTTGCTTTCGGGAACATAGATTCTTCCTCAAGAATCGACAGGATACCCATAGGCTAGATTCGAGTGGGGGAAAAAAATATTTCGATTTTAGTTTGATTTCTTTTTCATTTTTTTTTTTTTTCTCGAGAGTAACGTTCCAATACGGTATGATGAAAATACTCGGTAAAATCGTGGAAAATTAATTCATTTTTAAAATCGAACGTTACTCTCGATTATCGCGAAAATCGTTAAAATTGTTCGGTCGTACGTTATTCTTCTTATTCGAGATGTTTTCATTCGTATCCAAAAGAAGAATCGCCAAGAATTCGACGACAAATGAAATTACGTCGGATAAGTTTTCGAGAATAAATTTAAAAAATCGAAAAGATGGAATAATAATGAATTTCGACCGATCAATTTTCCTTTTTTTTTTTTTTTTTTTATTTATTATTTTTACTCACCGACAACGTAAGCACGATACAAATTCAAACACACGTGGTGCATGCTGGTGTCACGTAACACAACACACAAAAAAACAAGGAAAGCTTTAGAGGCGTGGATAGACAATTGTGTTTGGGGACGCTCATTGGAGGTCGTCTCATAACTTGATCACGCATTCCACATTCTTTTTCTTTACCTTTGTACTTGTATCTCGATACTTTTTCACACGCTTGAAAAAAAAAATTGATCAAAATTTAATTCTCGCATCTGTCGCTCTTTATTCGATTATATAAGAACAACGACGCGACATTTGCGAGAATTCTCTCTATAAAATAAACGATTTGGAAAACATTAAACAAGTAGAGAGAGAGAGAGAATTAAGAGCAAAATTAAGAGAGACTCGAGACAGAGTACGAGATACGCGAGGAAAGAATGAACAAAGCAATATGAAAATCTGTCGAATAGAGTTAGTGTAAACGAAGCAGATAGTGAAAATTACGCGCCATACGATACGCGTCGTCATCGCTTATTGGCATGCTGATGAGATTTCTATTTTCCTTTCTATATTTATTTTTATTTTTTTTTNTTTTTTCGTTTTTTCGTTCTCTATTTTTCGAAGCTGTCGACCTTTCGTTCCTGCCGTTCCATGCGGTGATGCGTGATATTGCAATACCTTCTCGATTAAATCGATCGTTTGTTGCAGATCCATGCCAAAGTCAATGAAAGTCCATTCGATCCCTTCGCGTTTGTATTCTTCTTGTTCGAGAATGAACATGTGGTGATTGAAGAATTGTTGAAGCTTTTCGTTGGTGAAGTTGATGCACAGTTGCTCGAAACTGTTGAACTGCTCGAGACCAAGGAGGAAGGGGGGGAAGAAAGCAAACAGAGAACAAAAGGTAAAAAAAAAAAAAAGAAAAAGACAGCTGTCATTAATGCTGCTTACATAACAACGATAAAAAAAATATTGGGGATTTCTTATTTTTTTTTTTTTTTCCCTTCTTTCTTCAACAAACTTTCTTTTTTCTTTCACAGGGAATGTGTCATTTATACATGACACGAGTTACATAAGGATTTCTCGCTTCGAAGTCTGCTTTAAGATTAATAATATATATATATATATATAATTATAATCATTTTCACGAGATTTTAATATCAACATTACATGATCGATCTATTCTTTTTTCTCATATCTCAATATTCAAAGCAGCGGACTTGCGAAGCTAAGAAAGAGAGAGAAAAAAAAAGAGGGTACATCGAAAAATATAAGATTAATTGATTCGCAAGCCGATCGATCGATCAGCTTTGGTTTTCATAGTTAAAGTTTTCGTTATCGATCGAGTCCATCGATCGATGATTACGAGGAATAAAAACAAGACACAAGGTGGTTCGGGGGGGGGTGTGAATTATATGCATGATATACAAAATATGTGAAATAAATAATGAGTTGGAGCTCGATTCGCGAAATTCACTTTCGATATACGTATTAATAACGTTACTTCGTTATATATACATATATACATACATAAATATATATATATATATATATATATATGATCCAGGAAAATTGTTTTTTCGAATTCATTTTTCTAACGTTTCGATTATTTAACAACGAATAGACGAGTAGAGAATTAGGTTGAGCCGTGCTCGATGAAAATTTGGATCGTCGTTTTTTTTTGAATAGACGGATCGAGAGAGGAAGAGCGGCGAGAAGGGGGGTTTTTCAAACGGAAAAAAAAAAAAAAAAGAAAAGAAAAGAAAAGAAACGAGAGAATAGAGAGAGGGGAGAAGCACAACAACAACAACAACAACAACAAGTGAACGACAAGGTAAATGTATCGAATACCTTTCGAAATGTTTCGAATGGGAGCGAGAAAACGATAAACGACGAGGAAGTACGAAGAAGAGAAAATAAGATAAGATAAGCGTGAGAGAAAAAAAAAGAAAAAAAAAGACGAGAACGCAAAATATCCAAGAGCGGTCCAAACCGGTCCAAAGAGGTTTTGTCTTGAGCTATTTTTTCTTTTTCTTTCTTTGTTTTAGCGTGGAAAAGCTTGCTGGTTCGGCCCATCGTCAATATATTGGTCAGCTCTTCTCCAGTTTTTTTTTTTCTATTTTTTTTACGCTTTTCCCGTGTATCGTGTCTTTTCATATTCTCGCTCGATACTCTTTCGTCTTTTCGTCTTTGCGCGGGGCGAGGGGGGGGGGAGGGAGGGAATACCTTCTCGATCAGTTCGATACAAGAGGCCAAATCCATCCCAAAGTCGATAAATTGCCAGACGATCCCTTCTTTCTTGTATTCCTCTTGCTCGAGTACGAACATGTGATGATTGAAGAATTGTTGCAGTTTCTCGTTCGTGAAGTTGATGCACAGTTGCTCAAAGCCGTTGTACTGTTCGCATTTGTAATAGCATAACGCGCGTAAAGTAGTGCGTGGCACAGGCGGAAAGGGTAGAGAGGGGCGGGTGAGAGGGGAGAAGAGAAGAGAGAAATCATCAGGGCGTGAAACAACCGAGTCGTTTACCAAATACGTTACGGGATCTTTGTAGCCTTCATCGCGTATTTTTCACGTATATATATTATTCATAATTCTATCGTCGGAAATCGATAGAAATCGAGAATATACTGCTCTCGATTCTTTTTTCTCACACGCGTACAAAATTTCGTCAAAGCTATCCATGAAAGCTGCAAAGACGCGTAAATAGTGCTCGATAGCTCGAGTTTAATCCTACGCGTGTATTTTATGGTATATTGAAAAAAGAAAGAAATTTCAATTTTTGATTTAAAAAGCGTAAACGTTGAAATAAATTAATCCTTGCGTAAGAAGGGAGCGATAAATCGTATGCTTATACGCGTACGATTTATCATCCAGTGTAAAAATGTGAAACTACTCGAAAACGATTAAATATCGGTAAAACGAAAAATAAAGAAAAAAAAAGGATAGAAGAAAAGGCGATGATAAAAAATTTGCAAACGAAAGCAATAATCGAGGAGGAACAATGGTAAAATTAAAAAAAATTTCCATTTCCTTTGATTGCCGCACAACGCACATCTATGTTACAACTTCTACGAGACTCGACGATAAATATCGGGAGGAGAGAAATTTGGTTAACGATCGATGGTTACAGGATTTGAGCGGATCGAAATCAAATACAACCGAATGTAAGAAATGCCTAAGCGAGACACGAAAAAATTGCTTGCTTCTCACTGCGAAACGCGAAATCACACGACTTTAACAAAGGACAACAATACAAAAAAAAAAAAATAGGGGTTAGGGGGAAAAAAAAACAAAAAAAAAAAAAAACGAAGAAATATGGTTTGCGATCAACCCAAGAAAACAGTGGACGATCACTATTTGCCTTAATAAGCGTTAAGTTTTGCGTTTTATCAAAGATCCAACCGGTCTTTCTGTGGATCGTTTTACGCTGCTGCACTCTTATTTTTCGTTCTTTGCTTGTTTTATTTTTTTCTTTTTTTTTTTTTTATCTTTTAATGGGTGGATCCGTCACTTGGTCCATTGCCATTCGATCGGTTCATCCGTCTTTTTGTACCTTCTCGATCAATTCGATACACGCGAGGAGATCCATGCCAAAGTCTATGAATTCCCATTGAATGCCCTCCTTTGTATATTCCTCTTGTTCGAGGACGAACATGTGATGATTGAAGAATTGTTGAAGCTTCTCATTGGTGAAGTTGATGCACAGTTGCTCGAAGCTGTTGAACTGTTCGAGCAAGAATCAGCCATGCTTTTCGAATATCGATATCGTCTATTTACGTCTTTGTCTAATTTTTTTTTTTTTCTTCTCCTCGATCGTCCGTTTCTCTTTTCGAGGATACGCTACGCTACTACACGTACAACTTATCCTCGCTCTTTGTTTCGTTCTCTTTGGTTTCGACGCGAGGATAAGATATTATCGATCGATAGACAAAATTTTCACAAATATCATTCGTAACGGGGAAAAATAAAAATTAAAGGGAAAGACGATGAAACAAATTTCCTTAATTCGTTTTTTTTTTTTTTTTTTTTTTTTTTTACTATTACCGAGCAAATTCTAATCGTCGATCGATCTTTTTTTCGATTTGCAACAGTGTTTTTGTAAACACCCTGTTTACAAAAAGATGTATTATCGGGTATCGTCACTTCCCGAATTTACAAATTTGTATTATTGTTATTTACGAAAAGAAACGTGAAAAAAGGCGCGATAAATTCAAATATTTGCATTCGTAAAAGTCACAGAAAGAGAGAGAGAAAAAACTACTTTTGAGAACGAAAATCGAAATCGAATCATTATTCGAGCGGCAAATATTTCAATCTATCAACGTGTATCGAAAACGTGTATCGAGTGTAACGCAAGTAAAGCGATATTCGATACATTTTTTCTTTATTTTTCACGTTTCTGCAACTAATCAACGTATTCAACGTATTAGTTTTTACTTTCTCTACCAACCGAGAACAAATCAACTACATTTTCGGTCCGTCACATTTTTCAAACGAAGCCGTCTCTCTCACACCGTCCTGTTTCTCGATGGACAGTTGAAATCGTGTTTGATCTTCAACGAGTATTAATCAACTACTTATTAATAATAATCACCAACCACAAGTTTCTACGTGAAGTCCACTGTTTTGTCATATTTTTGATCGAAATATTACGATAATAATGTAAAACGTATGTACCTCGCTTTCACTTTCTCCTTTCTCGGGATCATACTCTTAACCTCTTCCTGCGTCTATCGAGACAACGCTGTGACCAAGTGTTTCGCTTGGATCTTCTAAAATGGAGGATCATGCTCTACGCGCAAACGCGTATCCCGAAAGGTGGATACATATTCGTGTAGCACATGCGCACACTGTTCGACAGAGAATTAGATTGGAGGAAGAACACGTGGAACGGAAAGAGATTTTAGAAATACAAACGTAGACAAACGTAGGTGGAGGGAAAAATACGACGAAATTACGATTATATCTATTTAAAAAGAAAAAAGAAAAAACAAAAAAAGGATTTTTCGGAAGATTATCTAACGAAAAATAGATCTCTAAAGAAAAATGGAATTCGGGGAATTTCGTTAAATGAAAATACGCATCGCAAAAAATGTATATACATTTTGGAGAATCTAGAGAAAAAATACTCTACGTTCTAATTGGAACGCATTCGAGAAGAAGGTAAAAACGATGATCTAACATTTATGGAAAACATACGATGCATCTCCTAACGAGATGACAAAGTTTATCGACAAACGGTAACTACGGTGAAAGACGTAACCAAAGTTGGAAAGATTGACATTTGATATCTCTGTACACAGGGGCTACCTTCTCGATCAGTTCGATACAGGCAGCCAAGTCCATTCCAAAGTCGATAAATTGCCAGACGATACCCTCTTTCTTATATTCCTCTTGCTCGAGGACGAACATGTGATGATTGAAGAATTGTTGCAGTTTCTCGTTCGTGAAGTTGATACACAGTTGCTCGAAACCGTTATACTGAATGAAACGAGATTAGAAACATTTTCGCGATGAAATTTTGGGAAGAAATTTTTTTCCTTTAAACCGGTTCTTAAAAACGAATCTTATCCACGTTTTTATCCCAACTAATTTTACTCCCGAATTTCCCTGTAAATCGCGTTACTTATCGCGTTAATGTGTTCCCGTGAAATCGTAACGTTCAGAGTTGGGCTTCGAAAAATATAACCAGTTAAAAATCTCGAATAAAGTCATCATTATCACGAGTAATTACTTATTTAAATGCTCGAATAACGTTTATTCTATTATACATTGTTGATCCGCTTCTCGTATAATGATCTCGGTTATCTCGATTATTGAACGATAAATTACGAAAATTTAACTTTATTCGCAATTTCAACCATTGTTAAATTTTGCCCATCACTGACAACGATTTTCTTCTTACGTTCTACTATCGTCGTGTTGGCGATTTTACGAGAGAAGGAGAAAAAGAAAAACGAACTTTTTGATAAAATCGCCAACACGATTCGATAATTCGTCTTTTTTGTCCGAGATATTTCATTAGAAGAAGAAGAAGGTGGAGGAGGAGGAAACTTACATCGAAGATCTCGAAACCGGCAATATCCAGCACACCGATGAAGTGTTGCCTCTTTTGCTTCGTGTCCAAAGTCTCGTTACATTTTTTCACCAACCATTTGAACAGCCTGTCGAACATGGCTTTCGACATGGCGCCCACCGAATACGCCACCTGATCCTTGTTACGGCCCTGCGTCACGAACTCGTTACCGACCTTGATCCTTGGTTTCAACAAGTTCTTGTAAAGGTCGGCACAGTCGCAACCCAACAATTTGGCCACGCGTTCACCTTCCTGCCATCATCCGGGAAAATAAATACACATTTCGTATTTTCGAAACGAATGAAGGAAGGAATTAAGAGCGATAAATACCTCTGTACCGTCGGCCTCGGCCTGCTCTTCACGACCCCTTTGCTTGAACTTCATACCACCCATGTGCATCACAGCAGCGGTGATCTTGTAAATATCGTTCTTCTCCTCCTGGGTGAAGCCCAACACGTCGAAGGCTTGCTATCGTTCGAGAAAAAGTAGGAAAAAAATCCGTTAAAAAAGAACGCGCTCGACTCTCGTATCAGAAGTTTTTTTTTTCTTCGTTTTTGTTTTTTTTTTTTTATCGTCGATGAAAAAAGAAAAAAGAAAGAGAAAAAGTGCGCAACTTCTGATACGATGACGTTGACATATGATGATATATTTTATTAAAATTATAACGTGGTAATGGTTAGTAGAAGCGCGCAAGGATAACGACGAGGGAAATGTAAAGCCGGAAGATGGATCTTCTTCCCGATCGTTCTTTCAAAGAGACTATACGAAGAGTTTTCGTACGTCGAACGATAGGAAATAAAGAAGAAAAAAAAAAAAAAAAGAACTTTGACGATAGTCTCTTCGTGATATTTCCATGCGAATAAGCAACTTTTTTTTGCAGCAAAGCTGATGTTTGTAAAATTGTACGAGAAAGCTGCGACGATTGAAGCTTCGATTTATGTTAGGAAGAAAAAAAAAAAAAGAAAAGAAAACGAAAAAGCAAAAGCAAAAGCAAGCTCGTATTCGTTATTTATAACTTTGTGCTTTTCTATTCAAAAATAAAAAAAAAATAAGTCAAAAATCAAAAGTAACGAAAGAAGACAACGAAGAAGAAGAAGAAGAAGAAGAAGAAGGATAAAAAAAACGTTTCTTACGATGATCGTTCGCTCGGTTTGCGAGTCGAATCCGTTTCGTTTCGAAGCGAAACGAAGCGAGAAGAGGATCGACGACGAGATTCGATATCGGTTCGAGTTTCTCGAATCGTCGCTTTCGCCAAATCCATTTCGATTTCGGCTCCGTCTCAAGGCCGGAAAACGAACCTTTCGTTTTACGCGAATACGGTATAAATCGGATTCGCATAAACAACTACGAAAAAAATAGGTAGAGAATAGGCTGGAATTGGATACGGTATAGTCGTAATACAGAGACATCTACTACGGTAATATCCAGATATATTTATTATATACATGTGGAACATTTCAACGAACGTGTGGACAGAGAAGACAAAAAGTATCTATTACTTTTATTAATCGGATATCTGGAAAAATTCGATAATTAGTCGAAAATTATCGTATATAACTCGAACATTATATAAAATTGATCGTGTATATATATGTATAAATATGTATATATACACGTGGGAAAAATAGGGGGGGGGGGCGGGAAGTCGATCGAACCGTAAACTCGGTCGATTTAACGTTCGTAAAGAAGATTATGTTCGAATGGCTATTTATCCACTACTACGGATAAAAGGAGAGATATATATATAAATAACGGAAAAAAAACCGTTACAAAAATGGACGAATAGAAAGAAGTAATATAGGGAGAAATTGAATCGTTCTTAGGACTTACGTCCGTCAGTGTACATTCCTCGCCATCGTCGACGTTGGGGATCGTGATTTTTCCTTGAGATACGTTAACATAATCGTATATGTTGTTGGACAAGAGACACATGTCTGCGAAACATTTCGAAGAAAATAAATTATACACATCGCATCCACGATACGCTTTTCATTTCCTTAAAAAAAGAATATAGATAGATAGATAGATAGATAGATAGATAGATAGATAGATAGATAGATAGATAGATAGATAGATAGATATAGAAAGAAAGAAAAGTTTTCGTAACTTAAAACTCGTATATTCGTTATATTCGGTTTTCCATTCGTCGGTTACGAACGAACAGTTTGGTGCAAACGAGCCGAGAGAAATGCTGGTGAGAGAGAAAGAGTAAGTCGGAGCTGATCGGGGAGCGGGTGCCGTGGGGGTTTTCGAATCTTTTTTTCTCATCTCGAATCCAACTTCCGATTCCTTTCCTCCCCCAATCTCCCCGCACCCCGATTGCGGCGGCAGCAAGCTTTCGCAGGCGGGGCGCGAGGGGGTGACGAAAACCTCGGCCCAACTTTTTCCATCGCCCGCCTTCCACTCGAGGAGGAGGAGGAGGAGGAGGAGAAATAAAGAGAAGGAGGAGAAAGAAGAGGAGGAGGAGGAGGAAAGGCGACGTGAAAAGTTGGTCGAGACTTTTTTGCACACCCTGGGGGTTGGACTTACGTCCGTTTCTTCCATGTCCGCGGCGTCGTTGACTCCCGGAATTCTGGTCTTACCCTGGCTAATGTACCAATAGTCCCCGATCCGGTTGCTCAGCAGGGTTAATTCTGCATTATTTCGTTCACGTTTTTCAAGCTGTCTGCTTTTTTGTATCGAGCGTTGGTATCGTTCACAGTCGCTTGTGTATACGCACGGCTTGCGATCGCTCGCCTTTCGTCTTTACTTTTTTTTCACATTCCCTTTTTCACGCTCCGTTGAATAAATAACGCCAATAAAGATAACTCGAGCTCGAGGATCCGTATGGATCTAGGCGGGAGCGATCGCAGGCCGAGAGCGAGAGAAAGAGAGAAAGAGTGGATAGACACGTGCCAAATGATTTGCGACAGGCTGAAAGAAGAAGAGCAATAGAGAAAGAGAGAGAGAGAGAGAGAGAGATAGAAGAAAGAAGAGAGAGTGAACAAAAAAAGTACAAGGACTAAAGTATAGAGACTAAAGAGAAGGGAAGGGAGGAAGAAACAAAGAAATAGAAACAAAGAAAGAAATAGTAGACGGAAAATAGTAGAGAATAAGAGAAAATGAGAAGCCAAAAAAAGAAAAAATGGTAGATGGTATATCGTTGTATCCTCCTTGTGCCGCCATCTTGTACCGCTAAACGTTATATTTGAACTTGTGTGTATGTACGTGTGTCTGTGTATATGTCTCTCTGCGAGTGTATCTGTGTGTATGCTGTTAAACAGAATACGAGTTGGTTATATTTTAATAAGAAGTGATGATGAGCGTCGATGAGCTGAAATAATAAAGGAGAGAAAGAGAAAGAGAGAAAGAGAGAGAGAGAAAGAATACATGGCAAACAAATACATGGTAAACAAATCTCAGCACATACGTATGTATCGGCAAAAATATTATTCAAAAAATCAAAGACAAGAACACGAAGCTGGAAGTGTCGTTTCGCTTCTGTAGAAGAAGATAGAGATTGCTAGTAAGGAATTTTATTAATATCGGTATATCAGCATTATTCGAGACGAGGATTGTTCGCGAGCCGAGAAAATAACGAATAACGATTCCTTTTTTTTTTTTTTTTTTCTTCGTTCTCCGAGAAAACTCGTCCTCGATCTCGAATATCGCTGAAGAAAAGAGAAGAAAAAAGAGTGCTTGACCGGTCAAAAGGAAGCACTTACATCGGTGATTAAAAGTTCCTCGCCATCATCGAGGCCAGGGATAGTCGTCTTGCCTTGCGACACAAAGTAGTAGTCATGGATGTTGTTGGATAACAGCAACATTTCTATACCGTGACCAAGAAAGAAAGAAAAAAAACATGCGGGTATATTACAACTACCAGACGAGGGTGCCATGTTTCCTGGTGGCTTTCCTTCGGATATCTAATGTATCTACGAGGTGTATCTACCAGGTGTATCTAATCTCATACGTATCTGTCGAAAGAGAGGACGATTTTGTCCTTCCAGGAGAGCAAATCGTTGAATTTGTTAATGCGGGTCGCGCACAACGTTGCCCTAAACACGTTGTTCTTTCTTGTTCTAAATTGTCTTCCTCCTTTCCCGTTTACAACGTACGTATATTTATAAAACTGTACACGATCGATTTATTTCAGAGACGAAATATAACATGGACGTTTGGATAAAAGAAGATTAATCTTAATTTCACGATAATTTAATAATTTCTTTTCTTTTTTTTTTTTTTTTTTTGTCGTCCGACGATTTAGAACAATTTGATTCTAATATTAATATTCATTAAGTAAAGGTAATTAGACAGGAGTAAGATACGCAGCATACGGTATACAGCTCTTTTGAGATACCGTTCTCTTCTCTTTTTAGCGCCTCCTCATCGAGTTTTCCTGTTGGGGAAACTACGTGTACATACAAGATAGATAGAAAGGTCCTGTACTTGAAAAGGACGTTGTTAATAATCGACGTAACGAGGGACGTACGTTGTTACGTCGAGAAAGATACGAAGGTCTTTCAACGAAAGTTTTTCTAACGGAAATTTCGTATATATATATATATATAAATATATACATCGCGCGACCTTGGTATTTTTCTCCTCGAATAATTGTGGCAACAACAAACGATCGTCCGGATCCTAGGCGGAGAGGGAGAATCGAAATAAAGAAATAACAAACGTGAGAACGTGAGAGAGAAAGCTGTAAAAGAATATTGGTAGTGTTGTATAGCGAGAGTAAGAGGGGAAGGGAGGGGAGAAAGAGAAGGCGACAGAGAGAGAGAGAGAGAGATTGAAAGTGAGCGATGCGTAGTCATCCCGATGGCATGATCGTCAGGTTCTTACGTCTGTCAAAACACACTCCTCGCCGTCGTCAACATTTGGTATCGTTGTCTTGCCCTGAGAGACGAACACGTAGTCGTGGATGTCGTTCGTGAGGCAGCACATTTCTACATACATGGAACCGAGGATGAGACAAAATATCAGAAAGAAACATCCACAGACGATTTCCTTTTTCTTCCCGTAACGAGAGTCGAATATCATCGCGCGTTCTTTCGATTAAAACGATTAAAACCTTTTTTCCTCGATTGGAAAGCGAGAGTAGGAGATTGAATGGAAACGATTTCATTTTTTTTTTTTTCCTCTCCTGTGAACGATATATATATATTGGATCGGTGCATAATTATTGCTTTTTTTTTTTTTTCATAATAAAAATAATCGAAATAATCGTTTGAACATTGGTTTTCGTTGAATGAAAATTCGTTGAAAAATTATGCACCGATCTATTCGAAGCGAGATCTCTCGATTATTTCGAACTTACGTCGCGTTCAACGAAGTTCGAATTTTATCTATTTTTCATTTCGTTTCCTCGACTATTCTCTCTCTCTGATCCGAAGTAAATACCTTTCCTAAGAGAATATTCGCCAGATAAATCGCTGCTTTTTTTAAAAAAAAAAATCTGTATTATATGCTCGAATATGTATATATATATATATATCACGATCTCTCGAAATTAACGAAATCTCAACAGTCTTACCCTTTAATCCAGGAACCGAGCCCGACATCATTTGATAGAAAATGTGATAAGAGCGTTCCAGAGCCTGTTGCGAGATGACACGAGCCTTCTCCAGCAGATCTGTAACGATCGATAATTAACAAAAACGTACAAATATACACACACACACAGATATACATATAAATTGCAAACGACGACGTTTCTTTCGAAATCGATGGTGACGCAATCGTTTCGCAAACGAAGGCAAGATCAAACGTTCGATCGACGTTTACGAATACGAATAATGGATCGAAGCCAACTACGTCTCCATCCGCGTACATAAAGGGAGAAAAAATAAATAAATAAATAAATAAATAAATATACTTGGATTAAGAAAACTTACAGGTCTCGATATCGGCACCGGCCAATTTTCCCGACGGTCCAAAGTGGATACGGATGAATTTACCCTGTTCAAAAGATAACAAAGTCCCATCGAATCGAGTATTTCGCGATGAACATAAATAGAAATACGGAAAATGTGTATAGGGGACTCACGAAACGCGAAGAGTTGTCGTTACGGACGGTCTTGGCGTTGCCGAACGCTTCCAGGACGGGATTGGTCTGGACGACCTGGTCCTCCAGAGAGCCTTTCTTTTGGGCCGTGTCGTCCGCTTTCTTGGTCGAGGCGCCCACCGTGGCGAAGTACGCGATTACTTTCTTCGTGTTCTCGGTTTTCCCGGCACCAGACTCACCGGTGATCAACATGGACTGATTCTCGCTGTCTGTGAAACGAAAGAGAAGAATGAGATGGGAGATTTCGTTTCCAAGATTTTTCTCGAAAGAGAATAGGATATCTTACTGGTAAGCATATTGACGTAAGCTCCGTCGGAAATGGCGAAAATGTGAGGCGGCACCTCGTTACGCCTTTTGCCTCGGTAAAGTTTCGCGCATCTTTGGGTGTATACGGGGAATCTTTTGTAGGGGTTAATAGCTACACAGAAGAGGCCAGAGTAGGTCTGAAAATTCACGAGATCGAACGTTGTGAAATTTTGGGGGGAAAATTTTCGAAAGAAAATTAAGAAGAAAAACAAGCAACGTTTATTTTATTAATTCGTTGTATCGAGATACAGACGATCTCCGCTCGTCTCTTTTCTTTCTGCTCCTTGAATTTAAGTAAGCAAAGCGTCGTTCTTTCTCCCCTGCAAAAAAAGGATAGAAGAAGACGGCGCGAGACGAATGGAAATCGTCGTTTTGGAGAATTCGCACGAGATGCCCCGTTTCCCGTCGTCGTCGATTTTTTCGTCGAGGCAAACTCGTGGCAAGAGAAAAGAAGAAAAAAAAAAAAACAGAAATTTCTCGTGTCCTGATACGAGAATTTCAAAACTCGATCACTTTTTGTTTTGGAAAACAACGATGCGGGGGAAAAAAAAAAGAAAGAAAACGATCGTAGGAGGAGGAAGATAAAATCGGACGAAGGCGATTGTTTCCAATTTTCTTGAGAAGAAGAAGGGAGGAAGGATACGTCGTCGCACGTGTACGTGTTTTGTAAAACGACGTTTCGCGTGTTGCAAAAATTGCGTGTTGAGAAAACGTGAGAACGCAGCATGGAGATGCGGCGGGTGAGAAACCGAGTTTCTCGAAGGAGGGACATGCAACTCTCGAATAGCCTGGGACGGGGATTTTATTGGAATAAAATTGTAAAAGAAGAAGAAAAAGAGAGGGGGGGGGGAAACGTGGTGACACGTCAATGCGGTGTCTTTGTCCAACGTTTTTCGTTCGTGCACAGCCGATCCACTCGATTCGTCTCGATTTACAGTGGAAGGCGAAGGAGACAAACACGATGAAACGAAAACACGAGAGGAAAAAGAAAAGAAAAAAAAAAAAGAAAACGGGAAAACGTTTTTTTTTTTTAGCCGGGATGGAACAATCTTACGTAAATAAGTTTGGCGTAGTAACGTTGCTTCAAATTGTGCAGGACCGAAGCATCGTTGAGATAAGTTAAATTCGACATATCCTCGCATTTCTCGTATTTCGGTGGGTTTACTTGTTGCAATTGGTCCTTTTTGAAGTCCTTGGTCTATTCCCCCATGGAAAAGAGAGAGAGAAAAAAAGGATTAGCGTATGTAAAATAAAATGGAACTTACGTAAATCAAATTGCTGTAGTAACGTTGTTTCAAGTTGTGCAACACGGAAGCCTCGTTGAGGAACGTCAAATCGGCCATATCCTCCGTTTTTTCGTATTTCGGCGGATTCACTTGGGCCAATTGCTCCTTGCGGAATTGTTTCGTCTGCACGGGCATTCTTTCTTTACACATTTCGTTCTAATTCGTTTCTCTTATTTTTTCCTACGAAATTTCTCACCAATTTTTCACGTCTTTTCGTTATTTTTTTTTTTTAAATAATTTACTCGTCAATAATAATAATTAAAAAAGAGTAAAAAAAAAAAAAAAAACTCAAAATTTTAATCGAATAAATTACAATTACAAGGAGCGATCGAATCGAGAAACGATATCAACGATTCGAAAGATGATATATATATATATATTATATCCGTTTCCTACATCCGTTCGTTCTATCTGGTCTCGTCTCTTCTCGTTTCGACGGTCCAAAAATATATCGACCCGCGTTTCGCGAACTGACGTTTCAATTTATTATTACCAATGGTGGCGAGCATGCTAACAATAGCATTTCGGCATCGGTCGACGAGGTAGAAGAGAAGACGCAGGGTTTGCTGAACCATTATGTAATTGAAACGCGTATAGAGCCGTGGTGGTGGTATTTCGTACACCGGGCGCACGCATCACCGCGGTGTCCCGCTCCGAGCAAAAATAACCGCTCCTACCCAAATCGCCGACACAATACCGAGAAAAAACCGAAAACAGACGTACTCGCTCCCTATTTTTACCCGCGCTACCAAACTTCCGCTAATTCTAATTTCCCCCAAATATAATCCCCTCCCGACGACACGCCAATATCATTATTATTATTATTATTATTATTATTATATATCTCGTCTCGTTTTCAACGTTTATATATATATATATATATATATATAATAAC